CCAATCAATGATATTTACATTTCCACTGAATGCTTTCAGATTGAAACATGGTAGTGCTTAGCAGTTTCCTGCCACCACAGGAAGGGATACGTCATGAAGAACCAAACACCACAGTTTATATCAACGACAGAGAAGTTGGAAAAGGAACATTCTACATTACAGAAAGGTGATAAATCCTTCTTATTGCATTTTTAATACACACGCATAATCTATATATTTTAGTTATATATTTTAATTTTATTGATAGTGTGCTTTCATGGGTGAACAACGACACACAACAAGGGTTTTCACTTGAATATCCTCATATTTCACTGCACGCCATTTCACGAGATGAACAAGTGCATCCAAGACAATGTTTATACGTTATGGTTGATGCCAAAGTAGATCTCCCAGGTATATCATTTCTCTACACTAAAATTTTTATATTACAATAAATCATAAATTATGATAAAATCAAAGAATATTCATTAATAGATAAAATAATGCACTGTTTTGTAATTTTTTGCCATATTTAATATTTTCCTCATTTTTGTTAAATTTTGTAACTTGAAGGTTTATGTGGTGTTTAATCAGAAATATATGTATTTATATATTTTATTTGTACAGATATGCCATTATCGTTATCATCTGAAAATGCCTCAGAAAACGAAGACGACGATACAGATACTCCAATTACGGAAATGCAATTTGCACCGGATAATACAAATAATTTAGAATCAATGTTTCAAGCAATGAACGCGTGCCAAGCACTCCATCCTGATCCACAGGATAGCTTCTCAGATGGTGAATAATTAAACAAAATAAAAAGTTTATTATTTGTGTCTCAATAATTAAAAATTTTTTATTATTAAAGAGGACATCTATGAGGATGCCGAGGAGGACTACGAGGGCGAATATGATGAGGAAGTAGGCGCTGGCGACGCTCCTTGTATCATGCCAACAGGTAATTTGTATTTAGATTTCATTTTTTGAAGATTAGATTGCATACTTAAATTATATTTAATATTATATATAATTGTATGTAATTGAAGCAGAAAATTTGTGTTGAATAAATATTTAAAAAATATGTAGGCTACAATGTTGATATGTTAAACAATAAGTTTCCGAAAATTTTTTTGATATTAGAGCAAATGGGGACCACTCATCCAGGAGCAGAGACGGAAGAAGCCATGGACGTCGAGGCAGGTCAATTCGAAGATGCGGAGGAAGATCCATAAGAAGCGACTAGGCATATATGTGCATTTAGTGTTAATTTAAACGTTTATCAATTTCATATATGTATTTCGGTAGATATACGTGACGTCGTTATTGCAAACTTACTACGGAGCTGTATCAAACGTTAAAGCACCTAAACGTTTATTTATATTCATTTTGTACATGGCGATAATTTCTTAGATAAAAATAAATAATTGTACATCAATGCTGAATTTTTTATTGTTTTCTTCCAATAGAAAGTTTAATACAACTTGCACACTTTGTTTATATAACATTCGCCATCTGTAAGGAGAAAAAGAGAATAATTTCTTTTTCAAGTAAGATGTGGAATTGTGTCAAAAATATTGCGAAGAAGTATATAAATCGTATGTTAGGTTCTATCACAACATAGCTTTCGTTGAAAGACGTAAAATAATTGTTGATCTTTGTAAAAATTTCTAATAACAATATTCATGTCACACAAAAATTATCATTTAATAATGATAATTTTATCATTATTCTCTAATAATGATAATATATAGATAAGATTATGATATATCAACGTACACTTTGTTGTATTAAAAGTGCATTTTGCGTGGTACAGTAAACCATACAGTTAACGCGTAATCGAAAATCGGCAGTGCGTTGTAACAATCTGTATTAATCGAATTTGTTTTCCATATTCAAATGTTTCAGACCCAGGAGGAAAATTTTGTATATTCGCAATATCGTAGTTAACAAGGGCTTACTGTACCAGTCTTGCGGTCTGGATTGTTCATTTTAAATGCACTAGCACTCGTCATTTGTACATATATAATACACTCGTACTATCGAAATTCTGATGCATTCATCATGATAATTAGTTCTTGAAGAAATTCTGTGATGTATTATAGTAAAAAGCGATAATTAATTATAGTTAAACGTTAAGAAGTCCAGTTTCACTTCACCAGATATGCATGCATCATCAATTTCTCAATCAAGTACGACCATTCAACTTGAAAAGTTATTAATCAAATTTATCGAATTTTCTTCGGTCCAAAAATGAGATCAGCATCTGGTGCTCCTTTCGGATGATTATACTTTTGCCGCCGTTCTCTGTTCAGATTTACCGTGACTGGTCTCGTGCTCTGATTTATAGTTTCTTGATAATCTTCTTCCTCCTGTCTCTCGGTAATATTTAAGGTCAGTCTCTTAACGCGTTCTTTTTCCTCTTTTTGCTCTTGCTCGCGATTTCTAAGATTCATGGCTAGTTCAGAAGACACGGGCACCGCCAGGTTCTTGTATTGCTGTTTATTACCCTTTCTCAACATTAATACAAAGTCCACTGTACTGTTGTCGCTCGGTCTCTCCTGCAATTGCTCGTATGTTTTTTTGGTGCTCTTCACGTGCAGCGGTACAGAGATGTCCACTTGTTGTGGCTTCACGGAATCCCGCATACGATCCTGTATGTTGTCAGACACCATTTTGTCCAATGCTGATAAAAAGTCGTCATCTTCTGGACAGCTTACGCGTCGCGGTCCAGCTGGCAAAGCCGCGTTCAGCTCCTCTGTCACGTCCATGATCACGCCTTCGTTACCACCTTCCGCCGATAGGCTCTGAGACCGATCGCCTTGAGTGTTCTCTTGCGTGCCCATGGCGTCGTCCCGTTCCGCATCGGCCGTCCATTCCTCCTCCGATTGCGCCTCTGAACAATCCTCGGACTCTTCGAAATGCAACTCGGCTATGCCCTTCGCGTCTCCGCTACCGTTCCCGGTCACCGCCGCTTCCTCGTCGGCCTCCAAAATAACGCTCATATCATTTTCGCCTTCTGCAGCAGTATCGTTAACGGAAGGATCGTTTAAGGTCGGATAAAGAGTGTTCCGCAATTCTTCTACGGCGCACTGCGCCTCCTTGTAGCTCTGGAACAATTGCATTTTTGGTCGTAGCATCGTTAACGTGTCGCGATACATATAATCTATTCCGACTGGGAATGGACTCTCGGTTGTCCATACCGGATCCGTATACTTGAACCAGAAATAATTCTGAAAGAATACAAGAAAGTAATCGAGCTTCTTCTTGCTGGAGCCGCCGCTGAAGTACTGGCCACAAGTTTCCAATAGCGTGCACACTAGTCGAATACGGAAAAGATGATCAGACGGATCGAGTATACTCGGAGATGAGTGGTCCACGCTGACGCCAAAGGTAATCAGAAGATACAAGGTGCGAAAGATGTCGCCGCTCTCCACCATTCGATAGTTGTACAGTTCACCCAAGTATTTCACCATGGCGATACGTCGTTGGTTGTACTTGGGCAGATTAATCTCCATGCACAATCTTATGTCCTCGAGCACACCGTCGACCACTTGGGGACCAATGGTCTCGTAATGAGCCACTAGGCCGGCCAGCAAGCTACCTACGCAGCGAATGTTAGGATACTTAACGTTATAAGCGGCAGTGAGGCATTTTATGGCGTAGGATGACAAGCTTTCGTCCTCCCAATCAAGTTTACGCATCCATTTGAGCACTTTGTCTGTATTTGTTTTCGAAAGATCCTGATACAGTAATTTCCTTATAAATTCGTGCACAGGCGGTCTGTCCTTCTTTGCGACGCCGCCGGTCGATTCGGGCGGATTCACGAAATAGTAAGCGTTCTCGATGATTGTGACATAGCGTGAATCGAGTGCCGTGACCGCTTTTTTACGCATCATCTGCTCCAAATAGACCTTGGTTCTCTGATGAGAATCCGGCGAACAGAATAGATATCGGCCGCAAATTTCCAGCAAATTACAAGCCATTTCAATGTGATGGTGCGTAAAATCATGCAGTAATACCTTCAAGCAATAGAGCGCTTCTATCTTGGAGTAGAGCTTGAATTTGACAAGTTCGCCAATGTAGCGAACTACCTTGATCTTCGACTCAATGTTAATCTGATCCTTCTTCCGCACGTGATATTTAAAATCCTGCTTCAACATTTGACACAGGTCATTGCCGATTTCAGGCATTACTTGATAGAGGATAGCTGCCAAACGAGAATAAAAAGGTAGCAAATCCTGCCGGATTCTGGAAACGCCGAAAAGTGCCTTCACCAGCTTCTTTTTGTTGTGTTTCGTATTGAGATTTATCAGAAAATTTACTGCGGCATTATCAATCATCTCGCGATTCACGCAGTTTGGCAAGTGCGTCAAGAAGGCGTCTAGCAATATTTTGTTGCTGGTGTTAGACACCTGCGGCTCCTCCACTTCCGGTTCCGATGGTTCTTCTGTCTTTTCAGGATCTTCCAATTCGTCTAAGACTATTTCCTCGTCGAGAGCGTCTTCCGTTATCGGTGCATCCGTCTTTGGTGTTTCCTTCGGAGTTTCCTTCAAGTATGAGCCTGGAAGAAAGACAGTTAGATCTGGTAGTAGCTCATAGAAGCGTCTCGTCTCTTCGTCTCCCCACATATCCTCCAACAGAGCACTGTCCTCTCCTTCGTTAATCATTTTCAACGTTTCTTCCGTCTCTGTCTTTACTTCGGTATCCACGGGAAGTTCAGGCATTGGCTCATCCAATGTGTCAGAGAAGCTTTGCACACTAGTTAGCAAATGCTTGTAAGATGATTGGAGTGCTTCCAATTTTTCCTTTCTCTCTGAACTCAATTCGCCTCTAGTCTGCAATATCTTGCGATTCTGCTTCTCAAAGGCTTGTAATTCTTTATGCTCCTTCAGCAAGTGCTTGCATAGAGAGTTATAGTATTCTCGCAGCAGTAATTTGACATTTTGTTGCTTGTCCGGTGACAATAGTTTACTTTTAGGAATTGAAATATTTAGTTTCTCAGATAATTCACGTACTTTTTTAGGCACAAGACCTGCATAATCCTCGCCACAATGCCGACAAAAACTCAGTATTATGCTAGCATTATTGTGCTCCTCTTTGTCCATATTAATCAATACAGTTAATATTGATCCCAATAATGGCAAACCTTGTTTGTGTGTAAATATTCCAGCATTAACAAGTTCCGCATAGAATCGAAGATCCACTCTTAATTTGCTAGGATTAGCAATCTTGTCACCAATCTTTAATGACAATGTTCTTTGCCAGTTTTCGAAGAAATGAGTGGAAAATTCGGCATATGTTTGATGAAGGAAACTACATACTCTAATGGCAGGCGCAATATCGGTCATCTTTATTTTGGCATCTACCAGAGCTGTAGCAACTTCGCTTACATATTTTGTCAGGTTTAAATTTGCCATATCCTTTAGAACAGTGTCGAGTTGAGTTACGCCAAAGGTTCTCAATTTCTTCACAAACGTAGTGTTTCTCTTGAGGCTCGAATCCAGCTTACTGAATGATGCATCTGGAGGTCTTGTAGGATTTAAATTAGCTGCACGAATCTCCTCCTTTGTTGCCAATCTTTGTTCTGTTTCCCGCACATACTCTGTCAAGTATTGCCTATCTTCTTCAGAGACGGCATTCGGGTCTTCAGCAACTGCTTCTTTCTCGCTTGTTGCTGGTTCATTTGTAATCTCTGACATTGTGAAAGATTCTGCAATTGAAAGAAGCCGGTGTCTTTTTTGTTTTGCTTTTTAAGTATCCCAAATTAATAGTAAATCTAATTAAATTCATGAAATAATTTACATATTGCGGCATTATAGCGGTCACATGCTACATTCACGATAGTCCTATGTCATAAATAAGTAAAAGTGTACGTGAGATTTTTACTTCTATAATTGAATAAAACTACAATAAAAAAAATAAAATTGTAGTATTGATAAAATAAAATACCTAATTGGAGTAATCAATTAATATATTATGCTTGTTCCAATGTTGTTTACTACTGTGTCCTTCAATTCGATAAGGTTATATTATGGCAGACGACAATTCATTCCTGCTGCTCCTGCTCCATTGGCTTTGACTCCATTGAATTCATAGCCACCATAGACTATCGAACATTCTATAGAAAATAACGTTGATTTTTAATGCTATTTGTAAAAAACATTGTCAAGTTATTGACCAATAAAATTATAAATATTCTAGTAAAGTTACTTATTTTTATAATTTTCACTATATTGCGTGTGCACAATCGACCTAAAGGTCATTAGTTTTTTTTAGTCGTAACCGTAAGGCTTAAGCAAATCGACCAATCACAGTGAGCAGCAATGCGTGTCACTAACTTTTTTATGTGTAATGGTCTTAATTAATTTATAACTATTAATAAGTTGGCATTCTGATAAAGATATACCACAAGATGTCGCTAAGAAATCCAAAACTAATTGCATCGAAAAAGCCGCCATTTAGGTTTGAACGCGAGGTACAATATCGTAAGTGCATTTTGGAGTACATTTTCTTCATGTGATAATAAGATGTTGACAGAATAATATTTCAACGATATTCCTGCATGTTTTTGCTTGTACAAGAGAGAGTATTCCTTGACTAGGTAAGTGTTTACTATAGGTCTGTTCTTTTTAGCTGAACTGGCTGCACTAGTTCAGCTAAAAAGAACAGACCTTGTATCTTTAACTTTAACCTACTTCATACAAATAAAGTTATTTATATTCAAAGATCTAACTATATGTAAACTATTTTCAGCAGCCATGTATCTTTAAAATGAAATAATCATGATCAACATCTTTTGGACGCAATCGGTTCTCATCATTCTATCTGTCACTTGGTATCATTTTATTGAATTTTTTATTTATTGTTTATATTGAGGTCATAGCAGTTTTAATTACACTAAATGAATTTGATACAATTATTGAAAGTTAGAGTTAATCATGATTGACAATTAATATAAACGAATTATTCAAATGTATATTACATTTTATATGAAAAATTATGATTTTTTTTTAATTTGTCAACGAATGAGAATGGAATGCATTGATACAAATGCATACATATACAATACAAATCCTGATATACATGATATCTTCTCTTTTAAATTATTTTCTTTTTTCATTGCTTTAATTGAATAATATTTTATGATTTGTAAAATCCCAACAAATACAGAACATTGCAGCAGCATTGCCGCATTGTTACTGCAATATTCTCGCCTAGATAACACAAAACATCCTGGAGACATCCTAAATATCTTCCTGAGACAATTTTCAGGATATCAGGATATCCCTAAGATGTCCCCAGGATGTTTTGTGCTATGTGGGGTGTTTACTGGGATAATGTGTATTAAATATTTATTTTATGATTAATATATTTCTTATATTGCAATTTGCTAATTATTCTCGAGGTTACTGAAATCATTTATTAGTTACAAAATTTTCTATGAAATTTATTTCAGACTTTTGAATATTTTGACAATAATTTGGGGTTATATTTATGTGTTGATAAATTAGTGTTCGGCACATCCGATATAAAATAATGTTACAATTAACACTGCAAGATGTCGTTAGGCACTGCAAAATTTCCGCGTAAATGTCGCCATTTTGATTTGTATTCTATCGCGAGCATAGTGCCTAGATGCATTTCAAAGCGCGTCGTTTTTTTTACATTTTTCTTAATTAATCGCGATCATGGTAATTAACGTGTCATGCGGAATGAGAAGCTCTTAGCGATGGTCTTGTATGTTTTTTTTTGTGAAAGAAAGGAGGAATACTGTATCAAGAGTATTCGTTGATTAGGTGAATGTTCGAAGTATCTTTAACCGTTGTATACGAATAAAATTTATATTTAAAATATTAACTGTATGTAAATAACTTTCAGCAATTACGCAGCAATTATTCAGAAAGAAAATTTACAATAGCATCTTGCAACTTGGACACAACTCATGGATGCAGCTCGGTTCGTACTGCTATTTATATCTCGGTAATATTTTACTGAATTTTTCATTAATTATTAATATCGAGGTTATAGTAGTTTTAATTACTAGATGAATTGTTTTATATATTTATTGACAAAAGCTAGATTATAATTGATAAATACTATAAATAATATACGCGAATGTATATTATATTTGATATATTAAAATTTCTGTTTTTTTTTTTATAATTTTTCATGAAATGAGAAGGAATACATTAATACAAATGCATATGCATGTAATATAAACCTGATATACACGATATCTTTTTTTTTAAATTATTTTTTTTTTTCATTATTTTTATGAAATAATATTTTATGATTTGTCGGATTAGCATCATGTATATTAAATACTTATTTCACATGATTAATATATATTTTTTGTATTACAATTGCTAATTATCTCTGGGGTTACTGAAATATTTTATTAGTTACAAAAGTTTATATGAGACTTCTCTGAATATTTTGACAATAATTTAGGGTAACATTTGTACGTGTCGATAAATTGGTATTCGACATATCCGATATAAAATAACGTTACAATTATCACTGCAAGATGTCGTTAGGCACTGCAAAATTTCCGCGTAAAAGCCGCCATTTTGATTTGTATTCTATCGCGAGCATAGTGCCTGGATGCATTTCAAAGCGCGTCGTTTTTTTTACATTTTTCTTAATTAATCGCGATCACAGTAATTGACGTGTCATGCGGAATGAGAAACTCTTAGCGATCGTCTTGTACGTTTCCTTTTTGTGAAAGAAAGGAGGAATACTGTGTCAAGAGTATTCGTTGATTAGGTGAATATTCGATGTATCTTTAACTCACGTATACGAATAAAATTTATATTTAAAATATTAACTGTATGTAAATAACTTTCAGCAATTACGCAGCAATCCAGCAATTATTCAGAAGGAAAAATTACAATAGCATTTTGCAACTTGGACATAACTCATGGATGCAACTTGGTTCGCACCGCCATTTGTATTTCGGTAATATTTTACTGAATTTTTTATTAATTAATATTGAGGTTATAGCAGTTTTAATTGCTAGATGAATTGTTTTATACAATCACTGACGAAAGCTAGATTATAATTGGTAAATGCTGTAAATAATATACATGAATGTATATTATATTTGATATATTAAAATTTCTGTTTTTTTTTATAATTTTTCATGAAATGAGAAAGAATACATTAATACAAATGCAGTATACAATATACATTAATAGAAATACGTATGCAGTATAAACGCCTGATATACACGATATTTTCTCTTTTAAATTATTTTCTTTTTTCATCGTTTTTATCAAATAACATTTTATGATTTGTCGGATTAGCATTATGCATATTAAATACTTATTTTACATGATTAATACATACTTTTTGTATTACAATTTGCTAATTATCTCCGGGGTTACTGAAATTTTTTATTGGTTACAAAATTTTATTTGAAGTTTATTTGACACTTCTCTGAATATTTTGACAATAATTTAGGGTTACATTTGTACATGTCGATAAATTGGTATTCGACACATCCGATATAAAATAACGTTACAATTATCACTACAAGATGTCGTTTGGTACTGCAAAATTGGCGCGCAAAAGCCGCCATTTGCATTTTACCGCAAGCACGGTGCAAATATGTATTTCCAATTGCGTCGTTTTTTTATATCTTTCTTAATTAATCACAATCGCAATAATTAACGTTCTATGCGGAATGAGAAGATCTTTCAGCAATATTCTTGTACGTTTCCGCTTTTCGTAACAGAGGAGAAATATTATATCAATAACTGTATTCTTTGACTGGATAAATGTTTGCTGTATTCTTAATTCATTTTATACATATAAAATTATTTATATTCACACACACAAAAAGCTAACTACATGTGAATTATTTTTAGGAACTACGCATCTTCAAGAAGAACAACGATAATTAACATCTTCTGGATGTAATTCGGTTCACAACTTGGTGAGTAATATTTTACTGAATTTTTTGCTTATATTGAGGTTATAGCAGTTTTAATAGCTTCAAGTTAATTTGTTTTATATAATTATTGACAAAAGTCGATTAATCTATAGTCGATTATAATTGGCAAATGCTATAAATGCTTATTTATAGCAAATGCTATAAATAAGATATGATAAATGTTCAATATATCTTTAATCTATTTATACGCATAAAATTATTTATACTTAAAAAACTTACTATATGTACATCATTTTCAGTAGTTACGTGTCTTCCGGAGGAAAAATTACAATGGGACATCTTGCAACTCGGATTCAACTCGATACAACTTACGTATGCAGTTTGGTTTTGCACCTGCCGCCCTGCAGCTCGGTGAGTAATATTCTATTGGATTTTTTTAATTGCTTATGAAATTGTAGCAGTTTTAATTACTGCGAATTAATTTGTTTTATGCAATTATTAATACAAAAATTGAGATCGATTATGGCAATTGCCATAAATGAGATACGCATATATATATATATATATATATATATATATATT